GTTTAGCAACTCATAGTAGATGGAGTCTTTCAGCCTAAATTAAATTAAGGGACGATGCTTGCGTTACTCCGAAGACTAGTATCTCCTGCAGTGAAGCGATCCAACCGATTGTTGACCGTCGATAGGTGAGCATTGCTAGCATCGAATAGATTGCTGATATTTCGAGCCGCTACACCCGCGTTTTTTCCTTGGCGTGCTTAGTAGAAGGTGATGGTACGAATCGGGTGTTGTCAATTCATTGACCGTAATGCTCTGAAAGCCCACACGCGTGCCCTTATTTACTTATGTGTTGATTGCCTGAGGAATTTCCTACAAGTCTATCACCCTTGCTACCATGTTCACACTGTTGATACAAATTTTCAACGCTTCAAATTTTTTGTCGCAGGACTTATTTGCCCACCTTAGACTTTGTTTAGGCCGAATTTCTGTTACCTATTGATGTGGAATAGCGTTCCACACGTAAAAAAAATGCTTCAAAAAACGTATGCATAAAGATCAGATTAAATTGTTTTTTTTTGCCTTCAACGTCTGTGACAACAAAGAGTAAAAGTTTGAACAACTACCATCTTATACAATACTGCTGCGTAAGCAGTAATCAGCGAATCAGCAAAGTTATTCGCGCGGATGTAGTCACCAACCAGCAAAACTGAAACGTGCACAATTTCATCACTTGGCGGGCACATCGAGAAATTTTACAGCGATTCGGCAACGCCAAAATTTAGCCATGTTTGTGGACAATAAATTTAGGTCCACACGAGGAAATCATTACGATCAGTTTTCCACCAATTAAACTGACAGATCCTGGCTGGGAACTCGGGTATCTGGGGGTTTTCCAAACATTAGTAGGCTTGAGATCGCTCTGATCGAAGTAGAGGAAATACGAGGAGGCGTTTTCAGTAGAAACAAGCTCTAAAGAAGAAAGATTCGATCGCAAAACTCGGCTACTGGAAGCCGATGACCGGTCGGAAGATAACGAAGATGAGTTCGATCGGAGGGCGTAGAACTCACTGACACTAATCCCTTTCCCTCCTCTGACCACCATTTTCACCATTTTTTCTTCATCCTCTGGCATCTTCAGGCATTAGTGTGAGCCCCTGACACTCCGCCATACCAGTGCCGAACAAATCTTGAGACCCAAGTATGTAAAATCAAGTACTTCATCTGAATCTCAAACGAAGTAGGTTGCCGCGCTCCAGTGCCGATTTGGCGGGAAGCGCGCCAAGCCGTCAAATTCAAAACCGTTGAAACTGCACTTGATGAATGTGAGGGGGCACGCGTTTCTAAATTTTTCTTCTTTTTTTTAGATTGGATTATTTATCCCCTGGAGTAAGTACTTGATCAGGTTATTATTAGATTTCGAGCCATATTTCTTATCATCTAATCTGAGTAGGCCCATGTTCCACAGTTCCTTGACTCTAATTAATATTTCCTATTATGTGACATCACTTGCAAAGAGTTCACAGCATTCAAGTTGTTGCTACATGCAACTTATCTTAAACCTCTCTAAATTTCATTATATAGCATTATTGGAACTCCTATAAGCGTTCTCTTTGAGTTTCCTTATTTTTAGAGTGCAAATGTTTCCATTAACTATGCTAGATGTCCTAAGAAAAACTTGGTTGCGGAGGAACGCCTTCCAACGGCTGAAGTGAATACCGTCCCTGTGGTGAATACTGCGACTGTGGAGGTGTGTATTTAACCGAATCATTCAGATCTAATTCGTTTACCGATGTGGTCTTATTATTAGCATATGCACATCCTTTGGAGGTCCAATTTTTTTAATCCCATTTTACTTGAAAGACTAATCTATACTTGGGCGGTAATTTAAAGAAAATGTCCCGCTGAATAAAGGGCAAAGCTAGTTTGGGTAAAAGCTTTCAAGTGCTAGGGAGAGCACGATTTTGTTTCATCGAAAGAAGGGAAAAGTACATTGTTCAGATGCATGAGTCGAAGGAAAACGCCATCATTTGTCCCGTAACATTAGCAGAGTTCGAACTAATTCCTAAATACATGCGTGGTCGAATGGCACTGTCGGAATTGAACGATGTGAGTGTTTTAACTTATTCATAGAGTTCGTCTACGTTCTTTTTGTTCCATTCAGATCGTTGGCAAGCTGGATGAGTTTCTCACTATGAAGCGAAATTTACTGAACACGTCTTTTAAGAAGCTTTCCATGAAGGACAAAGATCAGGTCTCCAAGTGGAGGGAACAGGTAATTCATTGTTCATAATTTTAGCGTTGTGTTGCAAACTCATTNAACTTGGTGGACGGTGCACGCATGAGTCTGCGATGCTGCATTTTGGTTTCCAAGAGGTGCAATGCCTTTTTTTACCTCTCTTTTTCATCTCTTTACTAATAACAGCGTTAAAATTTAATTCTTCATTGCTCCAATGCAGTTTGCCCAACTGAAGGCTTCCTCGATTCTTTACAGTTCCCGTAAAATATAATCCCACTTCGTAAGACATGTTCGCAGAAAGGAAACCAAGAAGTAGGAGAAAGTGTCTCACGGAAGCAATGACTTAATCCAAACTAGAAATCCCCGAGTTGAAAGCTGTAGTAATTTGTCACCTGACAGGCAGTAAACAGAACAAATGTTTAGCTCTTCAGAAAGGCATGGATGATTCCGATCACGTAGCATAATGCGCTTTCATATAATGCTAAGGCGTCTAGAATTTCATATCATAAAATCGAAGTAAGGGGCTTAAAAATACGTACATTAAATACTAAAAGGATATGAAAATAACTAGGGTTCACTTTAATCGGTGATTGCGCAAGCTGTAATTACTTGTTATTCGAGCAACAGCGATACGAAACCCGCATTTCGAACGCTTGAAAATCATAAGATGCGGCAACACTGTTGAACTTTTAGGTAGGCGCGAGTGAGCGCAGCTATTGAGTGTCTTAGGCTTTAATTCTGTATAGAAGCTATGTGAAACACATTTAGAACTTAATTATAAGTCGAGCTATTCAACACTGAGATCAGGTCATCCATGGAGTTACTATGTTTTTCATTAGTTACAGCCGTTCCCCTAAAACAGTCCATGGCGCCCTACTGTTACGACATAGTGAGTTTGAAGCAATTCCTGATTTTTTGCATGTATCAATAGCATGTAAATGTATCACAGTGTGCGATATTTGAATTATATCTTACAACTTTTGGTTCCAATCTTATCTTTCTTGATGACATCCAACCAGTCAGTGTAGTAGAGGTGGTGGGTTGAATCTGGCTCTTAGAGAGCGTCATTTTCAGGATAAATGCGGCAGTTCTACTAATGAGCAAGGGTGAGCTTTCTGCGTATGATGAATTTTAAACCATCTTCAGCGAGACGTCGGACATCCATCCTTTCTGTCAGCGTTGGAATATCTTATTGTTAGCGCATGGGTATAAAGTAAAAGGCCGTGGTTGCTCTAGTATTTTTGAGGCGATTCCGGTGATGACGCTGCACCGAGTGTATCGGTTAGCGTCTTCACTTGTCGATGCCTTCCAGGCTTCAACATCAGTGTTGAACAAAGTTGCCAGGCGCACTATTTTTGAGCGGTTTTCCATTTACCTAGGTTCATATCAGCATGTACATGCTTCTTCTCGCAAACTCTCCACTTTTGTGGCTATTACGGACCATGCGTGCTGTCGTATGATCCCTAAGTGCGTGTGCATGTAACTCGAAGTTTCGATTTGAATTTTCTCTTGACTTTTTAAGATGTCATTTAAGTTTGTTTGTTCAAAGTCGTAGTTTCATACTAACTCTTTCCATAGCCATTTCTTTTCTTTTGCTTGATGTTCCCACTCTGAGAAGACCTCTTTCTATTGTAAGTTCATATTTTATGAAAAGGACTAATTCATATATAATTTTCAGGAGCCTGCTCCAATTACTGGTCAGCTCTATTGTCAGGAAGTCGATGTAAAACCCTTCATGAAGGATCGCTCTAAAGCTCTATTTCGTACAGCAATGCCTTGTTTGCGGCATGTTCGACGAGTAAGAGAGGTTCGAGTTAAAGGAAAGGTTTATTTACTTCCTGGTCAATGATAGAATAGCTTGTTTCTTCTCTGATTAACTACTGTTTTGTCGCGATTCATTTTAATATATTGTACTGAATTACTCAAACCTCATATTGACGTTGATTTTTAAAAATGAGTATTTTTAAATTGTTGCAAATTCGTAGCAATGGTATATCAAAGTAGTGCTATTGTCATCGAAATAAGCTGCCATTATCTATAACAACTTGCCAATTGGATCGAATAATTAAACCTACTGTGTATATTCGTCGGGTATTTTTTTATTTCCTTATTCCTCCGTTATTTGCTACTCATAGGTATGTGCTTCTTTCCGCACGTTTTGATCTTCTGATGCCATGTTTATTCCAAAATTGGTAATGTGCATTGTTTCGATAACTTGTTTTTTTTTTGTAATTCCGAGTCCGCCTTTGCCCGAAGGCGTGAATGACTTTCGGGTAAAGGCGCTCCTCCTTAGTGGATATATAGTTCAAAAATTTGGTTTGTTTTGTGCTGAGAGGGAGTGAATCCCTGGGATACCTCGTATTTTATCTGTTATATTATTTGCCAGACGTGGTTAATCTGTTCGGTTCTGTTAGTTCATTGAAATTCCACATTCGAAGGAAAATGAGTGGAGAAAAATACGAGATAAAACGCATTCTGAAGGCGCGGAAGATGGAAGGAAAAAACAAGATGGAGTATTTGGTAGATTGGGAGTAAGTGTTACTATTAAAGTAACGAGTTTCGCTGTTGGACTTACGCATTTTCAGGCCAACATGGGTTTACGAGCAGGACATGGATGCTGGCTTGCTTGACGACTACCACATGACCGTCGAAGTGTTGGGTCCGTTGCACACTCCGGAAAATTTGCAAAAAACCTGTATCAAAGAGATGGACTTGGTAATCAAAAGGTGGGACAGCCATGGGCATAATGGATAAGCCTAGCTCTCAACATATTTTCCAGGCAATCTAAGCGTGACCAGCAATCGAACGATGAAGTTATCCTTGATCTCATGCCTTACGAACAAGTAAGTCGAAAGTTTTCATTTCAGAGTTGTATACTTCATTGCTTGCTGGTTGTGACGGCATCTTTGATACTTGGCTATGAAGTTCGTTCAAAATTAAGTTTAGGATTGCGTTCGTTTTGCCTAGTGTGACTATTTTAGTTATGGTTTTGCAATGGTGATAGCACAAAGAACATAGCAAGTTAGATTTTTCCCCTACTTTTTTCTGTTCTTTGCTGTTCCATAACAACACCTGTTTAGACTCTCCCCCTTTGAGGAATACTCCCTAGGAAAGGGTCCACCGTCGAAGTATCGTTTGAAAATGTTGGATAATTTGTTGGGCGTATTTTTTGATTCTGATTTCAAATCCGTTCATACCGAGTAGTTTTCCGAACATTTTGGTGGAGGTGATTTCCGCTCAATAGTCAAACGTGAAAGAGGACAAGGAACACCCATCCACAGCGACCACTTGAAGCAGTGGTAGGGATGACGCTTAATGAACATGAGACCTTTTCTTGCTGGGACATAGCTGTCGTGCTATATGGGGTTCCGCTCATGATTCTAGGTAATCTTCCATGTTAATTCCATCGTATTCTTTGAAATTTTATGTAGATGAGGTGATTCGACTCCCAGTCAAGTTCTCCAATATCAACATAATTTCTTTGCTCGTTCGCACACTACATTCACTTCGTGATGACCTCTGTCAATCAATGAACTAGTAATATTCTATCAGGAGAAGATTGAAGCAAAGAATGCATGAAACGACAACTAAAAGATTATGACACATTCCATTCTTCCGTAATCCTTATAATTATTCAGATTAGAGAGAAGCCGAACTTCTCTCTTACTCGTGGAATGTAGCCGGTTATTCGAGTACTCACCGTGGTGGTTTTGAGAGGCCAAAATCACCAGGAAGAATACTTGAATCACTGGCGACATGCCTTAAGTGCGAGAAAATTTCCCCATCATAGCTGCGCCGGAGTCAAGGTAGACAAATGCCAACAAATGGAAATTTAATTGCACTGTGTACGCAAAACTTTACTTAGTTTACTAGCTGGTGCGAGTGAGAAAATACTTCGGGTAGCAATAGTTATAGCCATCGGCTTAGCTCGTTATATTACTTCAGCCTTTTCTGTGAATGGCGGATTGTGTAGCTTTACGCTATTTGGAGGAAGTTCTCCTGTCCACCATCAGCAACGTTGGTGTAAGTGGATATAGATTGGCCGAGAATCCGCAAATTTTAGATGCAGATTCGTGATCAGCATCCGAAAGTACGCTAATGATTCAACTCACGCTCACAACGCAAGTGATATTTCAAATGATCCTATCCAGCTACAATTGTCTTTAGTAGCTCCAAACTTTAATTTCTATTATCTTCGTCGATTTTTCCTAACCAACGTCATTCACTGAGGTAGGTTGGCGTACGAGTCGATTGGAAGTCAATTGAGTCAGTCGCAAAGCAAATGTTTTCGTAGTTAATCTATCTAAATTTTCCTTGCTCATGGGTGACAGCGGCTTTGGTAACTTGCAGACACTACTTTTGTTGTTGTTTATAGGTGAAGAAGTTGTATCCTGAAGAGCTTTTTGCTTATATGGAAAGTACGTTCAGCCTTCCAGAGGAAATGTGCGCTGCTTTTGAGAAAGACGATGGCGCTAAGAAGAATTCACGTAAGAAGAAAAAGATGGCCAAGTAAACCCATTCGCGTGCTTGTAAGTTGAAAAAGTTTTCGTGATTGCTTTTTGAGGGTCCTTGCCATCGTGTTGTACATACTGTTACTCATTATCAAGGTGAAGTGTAAGGTGAGAAATGCTTCCGATGTGGCCACATCCAGTGTTGTACGCTGCATACCTCCTTTTTTCCTAATTGTTTCGTTTCTTTCAATTTTTTTTGTAATCGGTATTATAACGTGCGAGATTTCCAACCTCCACGTTAAATATCAATCTTATGTAGCAAATCATTATGATAACTTGAAACTAATCGCCCTAGACATGCCTTCATTTATTCTTCGATGCGTGCTATGTAATTTACTGCGAGTTCCTATACTGATTCTGGTTTGCTTGCTTTCCCATCTGAGACAATCCTTCTGTTCCCGTTGTTTAGGTCAAATTCTTGGCTGAGGAACAGACAACACTTACAAACAATTCGGTTCCATATTTCCTAATATACAAAATGTTATCGTTGTAAGCATGTTCTTCTAATTTTACGTGTGGCATCCAGTTGAAGCGTTTTCTGTTGCTCGGGATGATTGGGGCCTGTTCTTTGTTCACGACATTCGGACTTGAATACTTGTATAGGTAGAAGGAACTGTTTGATACCAAGCTGACCTCTGTATTTCGAGGTTGCTTGGAATGAAGTTAGGAGCCTCCAATAAACATTCCGCGCAACAGGACCTGTTTAATGAAGATGAATGTTTCAAACAATTTGAAGCTATTTAAGTGAAGTGCACGTTTTGGACGAGGAAATTTTGAATGAATGGGAGCCACATCGGAAACATTCAAGTTGTCATTTTAAGTTTGACCATGGTTGTTCCACTTAGTTCACTTGGAAAGAGAATCTTTTTAATTCTTCTTACCTTTTCAATTCAAGTTTTTGGAAATTGTGCCTTGTTCGATGTCTTACATGTATAAAGAATTTGCTTTATACAGTCGTAGACAGTATTGATTGAAGAGAGATGGGCAACTATCATAGAATGCCGCTCATACAATCAATGCGATCGATACAATTCATTTTAGAATTTCAGCTGACCTAATGAATTCGATAGGAACTGGTTGTGTGCTCATGCAAAAGAATTAGAAACAATTCATTTTAAAATACATTTTAACCGTACTTGAGGTGCAAATTAGGGAGGGCAGAGCGGCAAGAAGGGTACGATGTCTGTGATAAATGCTTCTATTCAGAGATGGTTCACTCAACAAGCATGGGTTAGCTTGACTCCTATTCCTTCTTCTTTTCTTTTAGTTGTGGTCCCGTACCGATAATGGGGACACGCCACGTCAATGGTGGATATATGAAGTATAGCGATATTGTGACCACGTTCACTATGAGAGCAGCTGCATTGGCTATCTGAAATAAGTCTATGAAACTCGGTACGTATTAGGAATGAAGAATTAGCTCACCGCAATGTACTGGTTCCCTGTGAGTAGACCAAATGCAAGCCACTGTATTATAAGCAAGAACATGGCGTATTGAAACGATGCTGGTAGGTATTCCGTATGACCGAATGAAATCGCTCGTTTCTGAAAAGATGAATACATGTGTGAAGGTAAAGCACAGGCTTATTTTTCGACATTGATCAGCACTGTTTTGAACTTCCATGCAGAGCCAAATTGGTCAAAATGATTGATCTGCGCAAGTGACATCAACTACTCGACAGCGGATTCCGAGCGTGTATGGACCACATGGCGATACCCAGCCTTTGCTTGAATTCAACTATAACACGGAATATTCTTAACACTCTGATTTCTGTTTGCTATTTGGAATTACGAAGCAGTGTTTATTTTAGCAAAATGCTGTTTCGAAGATTTTATTGGATGCATCCTGGTTTTACAACTTGACCACTGCAGCGCATGCCAGTAGTTGTCCGTATAGATATTTCTGAAATTGAGGACAGCATAATTGAACAAACTGTGCCCCCCTCCCCCCGTGCAAACAGGCGTTTTTAAGTATCAATTTTTCTGCTCAAAACTTCAAAACGAAATATTTTTTCAAAGGAACTGGTGTAAATTATCAGATTTCACAGATCGCTGAAGCAGAAATGGAAACTCCAACAAACAAGAAAATTATTTTGCAAGTTTTATAGGAAAAAAAAACTAACCCTCTTTGGTTGGTAATAGGCAAAAGCCGCTATGTAAAATATGAAGAAGGCAATGTTGATCGTGTTGATGGTAATGTTTGTGTTATCGTTCGTCATATAACCGTGCCTCAACCAACATGATGTCCTAAATAGCAAGTTATAAGTATTTTATTTCACGAGATAACAAAAAATCAAGAAATCAAACAGCCAATGGTGCGGTGGAGACGAAAGTGTGCCTGGTAATTTGTTTGGGGAGCTGACCATTGACAGAGTGTGTTTCCGATGAACTCTGTGTTCGGCTCAGATTCAAGGACACATCACCAATCTGTTATCTACGTACAATTTTGAACACTCTAGCCCCACGGGAGCGGGAGTTAAGAATTTTCGCTCAAACAATTATTTCGCACGAACCCCGCCCCTACCATATTTGTTCCCATCCTAAAGCCCGTACTCCTACCAAGTTTGAGTTTCGGTCGCGCGCACACACACGCACAGATACTGGCACTTTATATATAGTAGGAAATTACGTACAGAGAAGCATTCAGTGTATGAAGTGGCAGCGCGAAATATTGTTTAGAAGTGAGGCAGTAATGACGCCAAGTTTGTTAACTTCGCCTATAACTGGGATAATGCGGAGAAGGCACGGGATATTGAACCCTTATTGCTACGTTTCCAGACATATAGGCGGGCAAACTTCCTCCATTTATACTGGACCAGGCTAAAAACGGATTGTTCCTTCTACTGGATCGGTCTGCCAGTGGCGAAATTCGCTTCCGCGGACCTGCACACTGGCAGTAAAGCCTTTTACGGCAGTAGCTGCAGCATACTTCAAGGACCCTTTTTGAAGGATAGAGCGGTCTGCTTTGGGCAATTCTTCTGGGGTCCTCTCACATCTGGTTTCGGCTCAGATTCATTACGGTATCTGTGCGCACGGCTTATATAATGAATGCCTCAAATAAGGCACGTCGTACGGGTCGCGTTGCAAGTCTGAGCTTCGATTCCTTCAACCAACTCATCAAGTGACCGAGGAATTGACAGTCTAGGGACTCAGAATGTGAACTCTACTCACTATGCTGTCTTGATTCGAAGAGGACATAGCTTTCAAGCACTTTCAGCTGGAAAAGGACGGGAAGGTTATAACTTTCGAACCTTACGTTATTGTCGATTGCTGCTTCTTCGCCGCCGTACGCCATGCGAAAGTATCATAATGTTGGCGACTTATGGGCAAAACTTCGGCCTCAGACTGAACACGAGATTCACCTGTGCTTTCCGGGCTCACTTGTAATTTCAATGTCTATGATGCTGTGGACGTGTTGAATCGTTTCGAATATCTTGCGATTTCAAAGGGGAATTGGATTTCCCATGAGCTAGAGATTGTTCTTAATTCGGTCTTCTTAAAGGCACAGTTCACGATGAATTCCAGGTTCCCGTTTTTACTGAAAAGCGGAAGTATAGATTGGGAATATTTATTTATTTATTTATTTAAAATACACTCATTAGAGTGTGCCCGAGTAAGGCAGAAAGCGGAAAGCAACACAACTAGGCAAGGAGAAAACCAGCGCCTTACATATTGGAAACTAAAGAAAAAAAAAAACATAAATAGAAAACAGAAACAGAACAACACAGGAAAGTCCAAGTCAAATCGTAGGCAGAATGTAGCACCGAATAGATGGTTAATGGTCAGTGATCCACACATTACTCACGATAATGTACCAGATAAGGCAGATCTTCAAGCAAATCCTCGGTCACAGGTGGTAGATACTCTTCAAGCTCAAAGGTTACCTAGCACGGTCTGTTCAGATGAGACGGAAGAAAGCACAGCACACACTTGTCCCCTGATAGTGACAAGAGATCAGTGAAGTGGTGGATGGCGCTAGGGATAACGGAATAGTTCATCGGTGGTGGAGAAAGCGAGAGGATTCGCCGATTTCGAGAAAAATATGGCTCCTCAAGTAGGGGAAATAGAGGTTGGACGAGATTGCCATGACGGAAATAAAATGGAAGGGTTATTCGGACGAGATTTCAGTTATTGCAATTGTACAAAGAGCTGATTACATCAAGCCGGAACTGTACGGAACTGTCTTTCACTGTCGCCATGGGTCATGCCAAGTTGTCTGAACTTCCTACATGGGTTCCCTTGTGATCGATGCAGCCTCTATAATGCCGGTGAAACTCGTCCATGGATACACACGGGCCAATCTTTGAGCCTTCATAACTCCCTAACCAACCCGTTTTCCGACCTGATAGTGCCAGATATGGTATACGCGGGGGCTCAAATTCACCCTGTGGGGGAATCTCAGAAAACATTTTCATCGTGAACCGTGCTTTTAGCGACTGCAACAGACACTCGCTGACTGATGACCTCTTAATAAGTGAGCACTCATCCCAATGGCAATCCTATAACCGCCAATGAAGAATGCGCAAAGTATGGTACATCTGGAATCCAAAAAATTATTATCCTGTTGCCCTTTACCCACAGCTGAATTATTCGACAATAACTTCCTGTCCTTCAGGCACTAAGCTTTAACGTGCCATCCTGGATATGCTTGGCATGATCAGTTTGTTCTAAGATTGCCGAACCACTCACATCAGCATTGGTAGCACAAAATTGACCGATGAAAATCCATCAGCTGTTCCGCGACGACGCCAATCGAGCACCATCGTGCTAAAAAAAGCTTGGCAGCTGACTTTACTTACAAAGAGGTATTATTATGAGCTATGGACGATGTTTGCAGTTTTGAAAGGTTAAAACTTACAACGGCATGAGCGTAAACGATATCGAAAACACCCCTAGCCATGCGGTAAATATAGACATCGGAGTGAGCTCCATAGTCATCCTGGAAACAAAGTGTTTAAAAGGATTTCTTGTCGAAAGGTATAAAGATGAGAACACGAATTTCCACCAAGAAAAAATCGGCGAAGCAGAAAAACTGAAGAATGCGATAAAGTATGGGAGGTCAGAAAAAAAAACCGAGCATAGAGCATCAAGTAAAATGAATGCATATATGTAAGACATTGTGGTAGGAAAGAGGTACGTTTATCGTTTTCATCGATGGTAGGATCAAGGAAAACCAGAAGTATCTGCTGAGGATCTCTAATGTGCCCTTCATACGCCCTGAAAAGGTTTCTGAATCTCCCCCTGCCCTAATGAACCTGTTTTGTAAAATGTGAAAATGAATTCGATGTTCAACGGACTTTCATTCTCCTTACCACACCGTGATTTGAGTGGGGAGTGACCCACTTAACTCTGACTTCGTGTAATTGAATGATCACTGTTGTTAAATAATGATAAAAACTGAAGCAAAAGAGCGCAGACGGAAAGCGGTGGCTATATAATAATTTAGTCTATTAATGTTGACTTACGAAAAACCGCCTGTCTCACTATTTCAAATTAAACTCGCCAGTGCTTTAAGATTTCCTGAACTTTAGCCTACAGACTATGGCAGGCGAAAAAAGGACAAGCTGAGCTAGAGCATACGAAACGAGGACAGGTCAGTCCACGCTGGGCGGGGTGTGCGCTGAAATGACTGTGATGGAACACTTGTACCCAGTTGGAATCTGAAGACGGAGAAATTAGATTGAAATGTCGGTCAGCATAATTTTAGAAAGTGTGGACGGATTCTGGGCTTAAGCTTAGGATTCACCCACACTTTCTAAAATTTTCCATTCCCTGATCACCCCACATATTTCAGATTTCCACTGAATGAGATGCAGGACGATGCGTTTTCTTCCTATGTAATTTCTTGTCCATTAGCTTAATAGAATTCTGATCTAACAGTTGTGAGACAGTGGGTACAAATGTCCTCTTCCGATGGTTGATAAGTGATTAACGCGAGATTCGTATCCTTTTGTGTATGGAGAAAATCGTTTATTTCGTCTTCACATACCGGAATTCTTTTTCCCTAGACGTTTTAGCTCTGCTAGAATTTCCCATCAACCTGCTCACAGTTCTCTTTTTTCTCACCGTCCCGTGATCCATGGCTCCGAAATGGATATCGTGGCGTTTCTGGACGAGTGCTACGGAGTGGAAGGCATCGGGGAGCATCCTCCGCCACCCGCGTGCGGCTGCGCGGCGATTTTGGTTATGGCCCTTCCAACACAGTTTGCGCGCCATTTTCGTGAATGCACCACGTGGCCCACCGCCCGTTCTGCGCCCTTGCCCAAATCCCCTTTTTCATGCGTCGTATAGGTGGCGGTTGGCAATTTGGGCATTTAAATAAGGTTATGGCGTGAAATTAAATATATTGTGTACAGAAATCCTGCAGAATTTGGAGGATGGTGTTTGGTGCCTTCCGCTGTGTAGCGTCCCTCGCGTTCCTGGACATCGAAGTTGAGAAAACATGTAAAATATCGTGTAAAACGGTGTTAAACTCGTTGAAACGTTTAAAATACCAGGTAAAACGACAATAAACTCGTGAAAACGTGTTAAATACCACGTGAAAGCGGTGTAAAAATGGTGACTTGGGGACTTCCTTCCTCCTCACCCACCCCTCCTCCCCCCTTTTCCCCCTCCCTTTCTTTTGGCCTTTCTTATTGGTTTGGTGCAGGGCAGCATGTAAGGAAAAGAACCCGATGAGTGCAGGAAGTGCACTGAAAAACAGCAACCCAGTCAAATGTTCTTGATTAAGTCATAAAATAAGGCAGAAGCTTCAAAAAATACGATGAGTGAACAATATCGGGCAAGAGATGACCCTGCTTCGATTGGACCGGAACTGACTAACAGTGGAAAGAGCGAACGACCTTGACTGTAGTAGCGTACAAGGTTGTAAAGCAAGGGTTCGGGTTGGTTCCATTTTCGACAATAGAGGGTCTAGTATTAGAACAATGAGGGGATAAGTAACAGAGTTTAGGACGGGAAGAAAGTTAATCATAAGCGGACCGAACGCGTTCTGATTAAGATCCTGCAAAAAACCTGCATACCCCTGACCAAGATTGCCAAAAAANAAAAAACGAGTATTCGGTGTATCAGATAGCAGCCCTTCGAGAAGGAGCACCTGTGTAGGTTATCGAGGTTTGCTCTAAAGCAACCGAGGGTATTAAAAGGTGGCTCATGTCCATTCATCAGAAAAATCTACCCACAGCAAGAAATACGGCGTAAAAAGCGATCCAAGGCCCATTAACAGTGTTCGAGGGATAACCTGGGCTCCAACTTGAATTCGAAGAATCTAGCTCATAAATTGCAGCTGAATGAAGAAAAGTTCTATAAGGCCGAATAATCAAGACTACAAATGTGATGATTGTATTGTGACGAGTGCGCGAAATGTTGCACGTATGGTTCTAAGATCGAACCCCGGATCGATACTTGCCCGAGCCAACCAAGCCTTTCATCCCTTCAGGTTCGCTAATTGTTACCAGACTCGCCAGGGTGCATGAAAGTACTGACTTGAACATTGGCTAGCTACCACCGCAAGCCCCTGCAAAGGCCTCAAATCTGAACGGAAGTCGAGTGCAGGGGCACATCCCACACATCCCAGAAACAGAATTGATTAGCGCCAAACACCATTAATGAATTCTCCGCTATACAGCTCTTAGATTGGCACGCTTTCGGCACTATTCAGTTTTCTTTCACTGATTTCCCTCCAATTCGTTTGAAGGCACGAACTCGTCTGATCAAAGTAAAACAAGATTTATGCTATGATACTTTTACTACTTACATAATCCTTCCCAAAGAAAATGTGAATATTCCAAATATTGTGACGTATCTTATCTATTCCAAATATCTTCATATGTAGCGATGGCGAGGAATAGCCAACATGATGGTTATAATCTATAGCCATTTCTCTTAGCTAGAGGATGTGTCGTAGGCAAATAGAAGCGCTAGAACTGCAGCTTTGAACGGGCTTCTTAACAGTTTTTGTAGGAGTACCCTTCAAGTGCGACTTCTAGCCATCATCATTGAGTGTGAATCCAGGAATTGTTGCCCAACCTCCTCCACCACACTCATTACAATCTAGACTTCCTCTGCTCAAGCATCGTACGCACATCATTGCTATTAATTCCCGTTTAAGGCAGCTCCTCTTTTTTCTCTTCATGTCGAGATGCGAATGGAATCATCGAAGTTGTGAACATCAAAGCAACGCCGAGGGGATTCTCTTAGTGTCGTTGAAGTGCTTCTGAACAGATTCTTCTACCAACTCACGTTCGAACTTTGTTTTTTTTTNNNNTTTTTTTTTGTTTCTCAAACAATTTCTGAAAGCGATTTCCGCTGGCGCCATCTTGCTGGCGTTAAAGAGCAACAGCTGTTTGCTTTGGGGAATAGTGCAGAAAGAAGAACAGAGCAATACAGAAGAGATACATTATCGAGGTGTTATCAGCCCAATGACAAGAAATGGAGTGGCTCTATCACCAACTTCAAATCTGCTTCGATTTAGCAAGCCTTTCGTCCCTCTGAAGCCGATCAGTCGATAACTGACTCATTTTGAGATGAAACATTGACAGGATATCTTCCTGTCCCGAAGGCCATCAGTCACGATGACGGGACAGAGCACGATTACAATTCAGACAAATGGCAAGCCTAGTGTTTCTGGGTATAACATCGGAAAAGGGTATTGGGCTCAAGTGGCATCACCGATAGGAAGACGTACATAACATGCACTTGCCATTCATAACCTGCTTCTAAAATTTTCAAAACCATTGTTCGACAGAACTGTGTCAGTGCATTCCCATAGTTTCGGAAGTAAGAAGAGGATGCTCCAAAGTCAGCTAGAATAGAACTTCACAATCATTGGGGCGCTCGCATGATAGCAGCACAAGGAACCCCACCATTTAGGCAGTCTATGGCTTCCTTTTCGATTTTTCCTTACATATAAGACATTGTCTAACGTGAACAGTTTATCTCTTCTTAACTTTGATGATTTTCATATTGTTTCCTTTAATGGATCCAATTTTAGGCTAGGAACATCACACAAAATCGTTAATACGGGAAAGGAAGCCATCAGTTAGGGCATCGCGGAGCTGAAAACTATTCAACTCAAGGAAGGAGCTTAGGTGACGTTTCCTCAGCGATAGCTTAGAAGGAGTGATTTGAGTTCACAGCTCATCAGAAATGCCCCCACTTGCAACCCCACCCCTTAGAGATTGGCAATTGACCTCACAGACAAACGAAGTCATCAGCTATTCGTGCACTGCGTCATTCAAAAAGTCATAAACAGCGAAGATCAAGTTAGGCTGTACTTAGATGGTGGCGGAAAAGGGGTGCAAATCTGTCTTAAGTTGCCTACAACAGCGTCCTAAAAATGCATGCCATAGTCTCACGCGAATCCTCACTAGTCAATCACTCTCTCCCTCGTCGTGAATAACCGCTCTGACTTAAAATCGTACCCAATTTTGTAAGTTGATCTGCTCAAGGTAGAACCTTAACAAGACCTTTGATATCTTCTGAGATTGAATCAGTATTGAGTAGAAAAACGGAAGAATGAAGAGAATTATGGTGGGAACAGCACTGAGTTGGATCCACTTATGTATTGAGAAAGGCATGTGGAACGTTCAGAGGTTGATCGTAAGCAAGTAGAGGAAAGAAGGATGGTGGCTGCTTGCTTACGAAAATAACAGCTGAAAACGAGAAGCTACAAAAAATAGCAAAAGGAAAATGTCTAACGAAGCGTTGAAGGGAGCAACTTTTACATATGACTGTACTCTTGTCACCTATTGAAGGGACAGTTTGTTTGTAGAAGCACTCAGTAGCGCTCTCAGAAACACATGTAGAACTGGTTTGTGAGAGCAAAGCAAAAACCGTAAGTGTTTCCGACGGTACCACGAATGTCTTCGCAGGGAGCGAGCAACGAACACGACTATATAAAGGATCAATTGTAATGGCAAGTTATCGTGTGG